GACACGGTGTGACTGACACTGACTGACACGGTGTGACTGGCACTGACTGACACTGTGTGACTGGCACTGACTGACACTGTGTGACTGGCACTGTGTGACTGACACTGACTGACACTGTGTGACACACACTGTGTGACTGACACTGTGTGACTGGCACTGACTGACACTGTGTGACTGGCACTGACTGACACTGTGTGACTGGCACTGTGTGACTGACACTGACTGACACTGTGTGACACACACTGTGTGACTGACACTGTGTGACACACACTGTGTGACTGACACTGTGTGACTGACACTGTGTGACACTGTGTGACACACACTGTGTGACTGACACTGTGTGACTGACACTGACACACACTGTGTGACTGACAGTGTGTGACTGACACTGACTGACACTGTGTGACTGACAGTGACACTGTGTGACTGACACTGTGTAACTGACACTGTGTGACTGACTAGCACTGACTGACACTGTGTGACTGGCACTGACTGACACTGTGTGACTGGCACTGACTGACACTGTGTGACACACACTGTGTGACTGACACTGTGTGACTGACACTGTGTGACTGACACTGTGTGACACACACTGTGTGACTGACACTGACACACACTGTGTGACTGACACACACTGTGTGACTGACAGTGTGTGACTGACACTGACTGACACTGTGTGACTGACAGTGACACTGTGTGACTGACTGTGTAACTGACACTGTGTGACTGACTAGCACTGACTGACACTGTGTGACTGGCACTGACTGACACTGTGTGACACTGACACTGTGTGACACTGACACGGTGTGACACTGACTGACACGGTGTGACACTGACTGACGCGGTGTGACACTGACACTGTGTGACACTGACACTGTGTGACACTGACACTGTGTGACACTGACACTGAGTGACTGACTGACACTGAGTGACTGACTGACACTGTGTGACTGACTGACACTGTGTGACTGACACTGTGTGACTGGCACTGACTGACTGACACTGTGTGACTGGCACTGAATGACTGACACTGACTGACACTGTGTGACTGGCACTGACTGACTGGCACTGTGTGACTCGCACTGTGTGACTGCTCACTGACTGACACTGTGTGACTGCTCACTGACTGACTGACACTGTGTGACTGGCACTGTGTGACTGACTGGCACTGACACTGTGTGACTGCTCACTGACACTGACTGACTGACACTGTGTGACTGCTCACTGACTGACACTGTGCACCAAATGTTCATGTATGCTGCATGTTTGCACTTGTTTCTTTTCAACATAGTGTTAATGAGTCAAGTTAGCTTGGGAGTTTGCAGCAACACCTGACCTGGTTAGGGCCACTGGTACATTGTTCACGTGTGCTAAATTCAGTTTGCTTTTATCAGACTTGGTGCAATCTCCTAACATTTCTTTTTCCTTTCCTTTACAGGTCGTGAATATATTATTCCAACTTTAGCGCAAAGATTCAGAGCAGAAATGGTGGATTTCTTCATTCTTTTTTTCATTAAAGCAGCTGTTATTTTAAGCATCATGCATTTTAGTGGAATAAAGTAAGTAGATGTGTAAAACGAGGGAGTTATAGGAGTCCTGACTGGTAACACTATATAATCCACATTCACACTAAATTCAGGGATTCTCAGCCAGCCCATCTAGATGCGATGACTTACTGATACATGGAAGTGGTAGTACATTAAAAATGTTGGATACACCAGCGCCACAACATGATCTATAGTGTCACAAAACGTTTGGAAAGGTACAAAAGAAATACAGAATTTGCCTTGCTTTAGAATGAACAGGCATTCAGTGGGACGTAAAATTAACCCCTTAAGGACACATGACGGAAATATTCCGTCATGGTTCCCTTTTATTTCTGAAGTTGTGTCGTTAAGGGGTTTGAAACATGTACAATGTCAAATGCACCATGGGGCACTTTCAGCTGTGTGTCCGTAACCTGCAGTGGTCACTTTCACTGTTGCTCACTAAATGTCAGGAATTAAAAGTGAATTTTAAAGGGAATATTGTACACCAGAATAGCCAGATAAGAAAAAAAATTAATCAGGTATGCTTTCCGTTTTACTTTGCTTTCCTGATGATTCACACTGTAGCGACCTAGTTTTGTGAGCCCAGTTTGTCTTGACATGAAATAAAATGCTCTTGGTAAGTACCTCTAATGACAACAATGTAAGTCTAATAGGTTTCTTAGTATCAGTCTTAACCAGAAAAAGATTTTGCTTACATGGTATTTTCTTACTGTTACTGTATGTTGCATCATAGCACTTATTCTGCTTATATGTTTCATGACCCAGCTTTTAAAAGGAAACTGCTTTTATCGTAGCTTGTGTTAAATAGATGGTTCTCCCTAAGGAATTCGTTATGTGATGTAACTCAGAAGAAAGTGAAGGCCTGATTGATTGCTGTGTTTTTATTTTTTATTTTTGTGTTTTAATAAAATGTGATACTTTGATAAATCTTCCCCATTGTTTTGAAAACCAGGCCATAGGTCAATATATGGACCTATATGCGTATTCGCTCAGCATCACAAAACTTCTTCTAAGCCTTTATTTTATATCTTGTACCTTGCAATATATTGATTAATATAATGAAAAAGTAAAGTAATAAAGAAATACAATAAAATTGGCTGTGTGCAAGTGTTCTACATTACTTAATATGGCATTAATGTAGGTACAATATAACCATTTAAAATATTATTTTAGAATTCACTTTGTAATTGAATCTGTTTCATCCCACAGAGACATTTCAAAATTTGCAATGCATTACATAATTGAAGAAGTGGATGAAGACACTTCTATGGAAGACTTGCAGAAAATGATGGTGGTAGC